CAGGATGACCCTTTGTTATTTGCACAGGGATATTTCTAAGAAACGCAGAGACCAGCGCTCCAGGCCACTGAGGCCAGTACAGCAAAAAAGGCTGCTGCGCTTTTTTAAAGCTAGTGGAACATTAGTGTCCCAGGCCAGCCAAGAGGGCGGATGGCCTGTCTTCACCAGGATACCTGCTGTCCTCAGCACCAACTCCAAACTCTGGGTCTCAAGAGGGCCACAGGGAAGGTTTTTATTGCCTGAATTCATCTTCCTTCCTGTGTCTGATTTCCTGAAGAAGGCACAGTCCCACCTGCACCTGCTTCCTGACCATCCTGTACCAACAACGCTCTCCCTACACAGCCTGCTCTGAACTGTGAACAGTCTGCGCGCCGAGGCTGTAGGAAGGGGAAGGGCATTTTCTGGGTGAAAGAGAGAGGATGAGGTTGCGGTAAAGGAGGTCTCACTTTACAGCATTGAGAGAATGCGCGTGTGTGTGTGTGTGTGTGTGTGTGTGTGTGTGTGTGTGTGTGTGTGTAGGACGGTCTCCCCAGCCAGTTTCAGTAAGGCTTCCCATCCTCTCTCCCATAAAGTTGTGCTCTTAAGGGACCTGCTCTCTTGGCCTGGCTTCCCACCTCGTTAAGTCCCGAGTTTCTACCTGACCAGTGAAGAAGTCTGCATGACTCACACACATCCTGGGGCCTTAGCAGGTTTCTGAGTTTCTCCTGTACTGTGGCATCTGGGAGCCAGAGACCAGAATGCTAAGGGAACAAACTTTGTTTTACCTGTGAGCTTCGTCTGAAAAACCAAGTCTTCAGGGACCTATTCTTTTCAAAATCCTGGTCTGGGGGAGGTGAACCAGCTCCAAGGGGTCCATCATGTTAAGAAAATGGATACCCCATTTGTGCAAATCATCAGCCCCAGCTGCCTCCTCAGACACCTGTCTCCTTGTCCTGTTCCCCCCCCACACCCCCACCTTCAGGGCTGTGGTGAGACAGGGAATTCCAGGGAAGAACTCCTGGCGCCTGGACCCCATCTAGATAATATTTTTAGATTCCTCTGCTCCCAAGTGGAATGCTTTGGGGCCAAAAAAAAAAAAATTGCAAGGACTTTTTTTTTAAGGGTCAGAGTTTTAAAAACAAAAGCATCTTCCCTAGAAACTTTTGTGAATTGTTTGCATTTGTGCCTGTTTTAAATTAAATTGAGTGTTCAAAACCTCAGGGCTTCCTGTTGTCTCTGGGAATGAAACCAGCCCATCCTCAAGCTGTGTACACCCTAGAGGGAGCGCCCCAGTGGTCACCCTAGACCCCAGAAAACCCAGCTTCCTGCTGGCCTATGGGACTGAAATGAGGGCAGAGAAGGAGGGAAACAGGAAGTAAAATGTCCTTAGAGAAATAGGAAACAGGGTTCCTTCCCAAGGGAGAAGAGTCCAGACGGGAAAGTCAGGGCTGGGCCATGTTTGTTGATGCTGCGGGGACTCTTCTCTGACCACTTGGAACCCATCTGGCCACTGGGGCTGGTGGCCACTTTCTGCAATCAGCTTCTCCCTTCCCCCGTTTGCTTCTCACTCGGTGAAAAGTCAGAGGCTGCTGTGCTCAAGCTGTTCATAGGAAGAGGCCCAGGGCTGCTCCCAATGAGAAAGCAGCCTCTGTTTTGGTGCTCAGAACTGAGGGAGACCACGAGGAATCGCGAAAGAGCAGTGCAGTGGCTGGAAACCAAGGAGCCTGAGTTCTAGTCCTGGGCAGGGGAAGTGGATGAAATTACCTTTCAGCTTCTAGCGCTGACACTGATTTCAGTACTTCCTTCCTGAGATCTCGCCCTCCCCCCTAACTTGGCATTCACGAAGACCTTTCTAGCAGGAGCAAGGAGCCATGCGGACAGCTTCCCACAGCATTCCCACCCAGACAGCTGCTGCCTCGGGCCCAGCGCCCCAGTCCCGCCAGCTCAGTAGGAAGCAGCACCCAGGTCTTACCTTCAGGAAGCGGCCGCATGGGGACAGGCAAGGATGGAGGTTGACAGAAGGCAGACCCTTCAGAGGAAGCAGGCACACCCTTCCACCTCTCCAGAGGGAGCTCAGAGTCAGGAGCAGTAGGCAAGGCAAAGAGAGGCCAGTTCTCGCAACTGAGTAATACTGGATTTATTAACTACTCTTTTGAGTTCTAAGAGTCCTTCCAACAGAGTGTCACTCCAAAAGCGTGTGCACAGGTCACTGAGCCTCACACACAAACCAGTGCCGAGCTCCAGGGGCCTGGGTGACTCTTCATGGTGACGAAAGCAACAGGAGTTGGAAAAGCAAAATGTTTAGAAAAGTCTCTTCTAAAGCGGAGACAACTAGAGAGAAGCCCAGGCTCGACGTCCCGGAGTGACAATGAGAGGAAGTTGAGGAGAGCGAAATGTCACTCGTCTGAGCTCTGCACAGAGGCGGCCTGGTAAGAGATCTGCGAGGACAGCAAGTCAGTGAAACGCACAATTCAGTTCTGACAGGAAAGATCTGTTGTGGTTTTTTAGAAACATCACTTTCAAACACCAAGCTCTTGGTGACTCCACCGAAAGGAGCCGTTGTGGTGGTTTACTCGAATAGAGGGGCCCAAGGTGACATTCAACCAGCAAGCCACATGTCAGCCACACTTGAAAAGATGACAGCACCTTCAACACAATATGCAAGCCAGACCTCGCGTTGTTTTGAAGAAACCAAAATGCTTGTATTCTTACACCATTAAAAACTTCTTGAAAATTAAACACAGTTGAAAGGGAATAAATGAGCAAGCAAGGGTCAGAAAAAAGGAGTTGGTGCTCAGGGTGTCCAGTAATTCCCCACCCCACCTCAGACCCTCTCCCTCTCTGGCTCTTCAGGGCCTTCAGTATTGTTCACCAATCACCCAGACACTGGGGCGGAGGAGAGGCAGATGTTTGGGGACAACCGAGTGGGGAGGAGGCAAAACACCCCAGAAACCAAAGCAAATCTCATCAGAAGAAAACAGAGCATAATCAGCAGGGGCCTGCGTTCAGAAATCATAAGGGAAGGGCTGGAGGTTCCAGGTTTTCCAGAAGAGAGCCGGAGCTCCAGGGACACAGGGTTTTCTTTCACTGGGAAAGATGGGGGTCTTTAGTAAAGGGTCTGAGCTCCTGCTACACCAAATGCGAGTTTTTGTTCATTGTCCCTCACTCCGCTGCTGTGAAATGACTTCAAGTATCCGGATTTAATATACTACAAGAGGAAGTGGATAAAATGAACACAGAGGGAGAAGGACACGGCTGTGATCTCAACTAAAACCTCAAGGCTGAGCTCCCAGCCAGGGCGCGGCCGAGAAGCGGGGTGCTGCCACAAGGGGGCACCAGAGATCACGCCCAGTGTGGGGCCTTCGCCGCCTCGCTGGCCCTGGAGGGGTGGTGGAAGCATGGGGGAGGCGTCGGACACCTCCCCAAGGCCCACTCCTGATCACCTCCCCCTCCCCCCCAGACCCGGGCTCTCAGCACAGGTGGCCCTGGCTCTGGGCCGTTCCCTTGCAGTCACTTGGGAGAAACCTTCCGTTCTGGTTCTGCCAAGACAATGGTCAATGCCTTGAAAGACCCCACCACTGGTGGGGGAGGGGCTGCTCAACTTGGGGGTTCACAAAAACAGCCCCCGCGCTTGCTACCCCGTAGGCTGGAAATGGAGATATGCCAGCGCTTCTGGGGGCCCCCCCGGGGCGCTTGTTTCTCCAGGCTCCCTCCGGCTGCCTCTGCCCCCCTTCACTGGGGTCTGGGGCGAGTGGGCGCCGGGAGGGAGGGGACCAAGACACAGGCCGGGGAAGGGCCTTTAACCTCCTCTCTGCGCCTGCCCTTGACGCACTCACCTGCCCAGCAAGGAAACTGGGGCAGAGGAGGGGTCCTTGGGCTGGGCCCACCACGTGCCCTGCCCTCCATGAAGGGCGCAGCGAGAAGCGGGAGCCTTTCACAGCTCCCTTCCAGCTCCCGCTGGAGTTCGAGGTAATTTAAACCGGGACCTGCGGCTCGTGTGGGCTTCCGACCCCCGCGCGCCGCCGCTACCGTGGCAAACACTTGAGTCAATTATCCCCCTCGCGGAGCTGCTATTTAAGGAGACATTGTCAGGTTCTTAAGCCTCGGATCAGACCCGCTGCTTTCTGCTTCCCATACAAAGACTCAAAACAAGAGTTCTTTGAGCCCTGGAAGAAATACAATTAAGCAAAGCCCTCGCAACCCGTTCCACCCTGCGGGAGCACCCACGTGCGCGCCGGGGGCTGCGAGGCGGGGCGGGGGCGGCCGGGCGCTCAGGGCTTTTCATTTCCAGCCTCGGAGGAGAGGAGCCCGGGCCGGGCCAGCAGGGTGAGACCTCGGCCACGCAGCGCAAGCGCAGCCCTGCTGAACAACAGGCTGGCCGGGGGCTGGCACCTGCTCTGGGAGGAGGGGCAGTGACCCCCCCCCCATTGTCAGTGAGGTGGAACCCTAGTTCTCCCCTCTCCAGCAGAGGCAGAGGGAACTGGAATTACCCAGAAACTGGTTCAAGAGATAACGGGCATTTCCCCGCAAGGGGAGGGGCGGGGGCCGGCTCCCATCTTCTTGGGGCAGGAGTTGCTCTCCAGAGGGACCTGGCCCCCCATCATTTACCAAGCCAAGGCCGAGCGGGGAGGGTAGGCCTTTGTGCGCCACCGCCACTCTTCTGCCCGCCTGGCTGCCGGGGTGTGGGGAAACCCCAGAAGGGAGCCCAGGAGAGCACGTCCATCTTCCTGGCGAGAAAGCTGTAGTCCACGGGACCGGTCTCCTAACCTTCCAGGACAGGAAAGGGCGCGCCATGGGGCAGATGAGACACTTGGGCAGCGACCACCAGCAACCACACACACACACACGAAAAGAAATGATAGGGGTGTCTTTCGAAGTGAGGGCATCGAGCCCTGGCAGTGGGAGCAGCTTCTGGGATTAAAAGCAGGGAATCTACCAGGAATGTGAGGACCTGGCGAGAGAGAAATCCCAGACGAGCGGAGACGGCCGCGCGGCGCCGCAGGGCTCAGCCTCGACGCCGTTTACCGCTGAGCGCGCAGCACCACGGCCTCCGCGCCGGCGTCACAGGGCTGAGGCCCCGGCGCCGAGTGTGGCAGCGCGTTGGCCTCCAGCTCCGGGCCGCTCTCCGACCCGGTGGCCTCCCCGACGAGGCTGGGGATGTCTGGAGCCGTGGAGCGTCGGCGCAAACCCAAGCGGCCGGAGCCCGGGCCCCCCTCCGGGTGAGGGCTAAGGCCGATCGGGGCTGGCGCTAAGGCCGGGGGCGCTCCCTCCAGCACCTCCTGCGAGCGCCACCGCCCGGTCCCCGCAGCCTGGGGGAGTGTGGCCGGACCATCAGGGCGCCCGCCCGCAGTCGAGCCGCCTCCTCCTCGGTGACGGCGCCCAGTGCCAGGCTCATGCTGCGGCCTAGCTCGGGTCGCTCGCCGCCCTGCGCTCGGTGCCGGCCGGAGCTCTTGCCCCCAGCGCCGGCCTCGCCGCCGTGGCCGTGGCCGCCGGCCGTTCGCGCGAAGCGAGCCAGGAGAGGCCGCGGCAGGCGGCGGGGGCTGGGTCGTCGGCGCTCGGGGCTGGGCGCGGGGGCCGGGCGGTCCGGGGGGCTGTCGGAGTTGGAGCCCCGGGCCGCGGCGGCCGCGGCTGCCCGGCCCCAGGGCCCGGTGAGGGCCTGCACGCAGGTCCCGTGGCCTCGGGCGGCCGCCAGCTGCAGCGCGGTGAGGCCCGCCCGGTTGGTGCGGTCGAGGCGCAGGCCGAGGCGGCGGAAGGAGCGCACCAGGAACTCGAGCACCGCGCCATGGCCGCACGCCGCAGCCCACATCACCGGGCTGTTGCCCGCCGAGTCGGCCGCCTCGGGGTCGCCGCTGAACTGCACCAGCAGCTGCACGGCGTCCAGGTGGCCGCGCTCGCAGGCCAGGCTGAGCGCCGTGCGGCCGCGCTCGTCCCGTAGGTTCACGGCCGCGCCCTGCTCCAGCAGCAGCCTCACGAAGCGCGAGCGCAGCGCGGGGTCCGGCAACCCCACGGCCACCATGAGCGGCGTGCGCCCCTGCTCCGCCCGGCAGTCGATGATGCTGCGGTCCAACGCGTCCAGCACGAAGCGCGCCAGGTGCACTTTGCCCGCCTGCATGGCCTCCAGAAAGGTGCGAGTCCCCGCCCGGGGGCACAGGTCCTTGGGTTTGAGCATGGCCCCGGCCGCCGCGCCCAGGCGGCCCGGCAGCTCCGCACGGGGGCGCCCTGCTTCCGCGCCCCGCGGGCCCCGGCCCCTGCTGGCGCTCCGGGGTGGCTCCTTCCGCGCGGGGGCGGCCGCGGCCGCGGGTCCCGAGGGTCCCACTCTCGGCCCCCGGAGGCGCCCGCTGGCCCGCCGCTCTGGGGGCTCCCGCCGGGAATCCTGCGGCGGCGCCCCGGGCTTCCCGCCTGGAGGTGTCGGCTTCTGGCCACTCCGAGCTCCGCGCCTCGCCCGCCGCGAGACGACGGGAGCCCAGGCGCGGCCCCCGCCTGAGTCTCCCGGGCTTTCCCCGCGTCCGGCGCCCTCCGTCCCTGTGGCCGGGAGCCGCGCCACTCACCGCGCCCGGGGCGGCCCCGCTCCCCCGCTGAGACGGTGGCGCCCGCGGAGCGCGCCTGCCTCCAGCCCTGGCGGGGCGCGCCGCTCCTCAAGCTGCTGGCGCCGCTCCTCCGCCTCCTCCCCTCTCGCGGGGGCCGCGCCACGCCGGGGCGCTTGCTCCTTACTTGGGGGGCTCAACGGCGAGGGAGCCGCCGCCCGCCCGGAGCCCTGGCTTTATGGTCCCGGGGGTCTCCATGGCGATGGCTGCCCCGGCAGCGGGCTGAGACGTCCCGGCAGCAGCCGACGCGGTGGGGAGGCCGCCCCTGACCTCCACCCTCCCGTGGGCCACGATGTCGGGGAGCGGCTCCTCCTCCGCGCTCCCCTGGGGCTGCCGCGGCGGTTGCGGGGCGAAGGCGGGGGCTGCTCGCTGGGGGACACATGCACCCGACCCGACCAATCCCAAAGTCACAGTCTTCTCTCCCCGCCCTCCGCCCCCTCCGGAGTCGGGGCCCTGAGCGCCTCCGAAACTGGCGGGAGCGCGTTCCCTCGACCCGTCGGGGAAAGCCGAGGGCTGCCGCAGGGGTCTGGGCGGAAGGAAACGCGATCCCATGCGCGCGGGGCTGGATCTTAACCGAGTTGGGGGTGACGCGAAAAGTAGACGGGGAGCCATTTGGGGGAGGGGTACCTACGTTGTGCGCGAGGAGGGGGGGCGCTCAGTCTGGCTGGGAACTGCCACTCGAAGTGTAGCGCATCACGCACTCACACACGATTGTTCCTCCCGCACACGCTCACTCGCAGCGGGGGTGGGGCGCGCTCCCACCTCAGACGTCTCCAGTGCCGACTAGGCGCCCGCATGCCAGCTCCCGGCGGGGCGGCGGAGGAGCCGGCAGAGCCGAGAGGCGCCGAGCCGCCGCTTTAGCATCCCCAGTGCTGCCGCCGCACGAGCAACTCTGGGGCGCCGCCTCGGGACCCACCGCCGCCCCGGAAAGTGCTAGATCTGCACACAAGGCTCCCCCCTGTCCGCGTCACAAAATCCCCCGTAGAGCGCAGGCCTCGGACCTTGGCCGCTCTGAGCCTTTCGGAGAGGAAGGAGACCCGAGTCAGCAACCAGTGGGAAAGTGACTGCACCCCCTCTGGTCTGCTTGGGCCCTGGGGGAGGGGGCTGGGCGAGGCTTGTGGTGGTAAGTCTGGCCCCCCCGCAGAGCCAGGGCAGGTGGGAGGGAGTGTGGGGTCGGAAAATAAGAAGTGCATCGGGTATCAACTACAGAATTTATGTATTTGTGTATTTATTAAGATTTATTTATTTATACAAGCACTGGCGGGGGGGGGGTCAGGCCAGAGGTGCGGGAGGGCGAGAGGATTCACCAGAGACAGAGTGGGGAACAGGCAGACGGACTGTCGAAATGCACTGCTGAGGGGAGCAACGGGTGAGGCAGGAGAAGTCTGCTGCGCCGTGTGGGTAGCTCCCTGGCAGGGGCCTGGAATTGAACCGCCCTGCAGAGGCTGCGGACAGCTTCACTGCGTTCAACCCCCTGCGCCGCAGGGGAGGCTCTCAACTACAGAATTGATTTATTGAACCCTTTCATGAGCCAGTTATTGTGTTGCCTGTTGTGGGAAACACAGAGGCAGAAGGGTGGGTTCTGGATGGGAGAGATCAAGACCAGGCATAAAAAGTGTAGGTGACCTATGGCCTGAGCCTGAATACAGCCTCAAATACAACTGAGACAGTCCTTAAGGGAAGTGGGCTAGAGATGTGGGAGGAGGCAGTTCCAGAACTGAAGAGGTCTTCAAGGGTGTGTGGGCTCTGGCTGCTAAGAAATAAGGAAGCTGCCCCAGATTGAAGCAACTACAGAGGAGCAGGGCAAAATGCCTTTGGGGACAATATTAAGGACCGCTTTAAGGGATCCCTTTCCATGATACAAGAAATGGGGAAAATAAAGGAGACTTCAGCCTAGCCAGAGCAGTGACAAGACACTTTGCAGGACTAGCATCCCCAGGGAAACAGCTGGAGTGAGGCGGGGATCTGCCTCTGGAAAGAATACAGTGGGCCCTGATGGGTGAGTGGCAAAGTGAGAACAGGGCCCTGCACCCTGAGCGAGCTTCTTGCCTTTCTCCAGCTCCCAGACTCCAGGGAAGTCCATCCCTCCACTCCACACCTGGGCCCCAGCCATGGTGCAGGCTCCCACCCTCCTCTCTCCTGGCGGAAACCCCCCTTCTCAGAGTTCTGCCAATTTTCTCTCATGGTGTCGCAGAAAGGGCACCATCTTTTTTTTTTTTTTTTTTTTAAGATTTATTTATTTATTTATGCATACAAGAACTGGGGTACAGGCCAGAGGTGTGGGGGGCGGGTGAGAGGGTTCACCAGAGACAGAGTGGGCATGAAAGGACACCATCTTTGGCCTTTTTATATATATATATATATATACAAGAACTGGGGTACAGGCGGGAGGGTGAGAGGATTCACCAGAGCAGGGAACAGAACAGGCAGACTGAAGAAATACACTGCTGAGGGGAGCAGCGGTTGAGACAAAAGAGGTCTGCTTCACCATGTGAGATTCTCGCTGGCCGGCCAGGTTTGAACCTGTGCTGCAGAGGCTGCGGGCAGCTTCACAGTGAGGTGCTCAACCGCCTGTGCCACCAGGGAGGCCCCACCTTAGAGTTAAGTCCCAGCTTAGGGCCTCCCTGGTGGTGCAAGGGGGTAAGACGCAACCTATGAAGCAATCCACAGCTACTGCAGCACAATCCCCGGGCAGGGAGCTACCCACATGGCGCGGCAGACCTGTCCTGGCTCACCCGCTGCTCCCCTCAGCAGTGTGTTTCAGTCAGTCTGCCTGTTCTGTTCCCCATTCTGTCTCTGGTGAATCCTCTCACCCCCACACACACCTCTGGCCTGTACCCCAGTTCTTGTATGCATAAATAAATAAATCTTAAAAAAAAAAAAGTCCCAGCTTGAAGGCATTTACTAGTGGTGTGGTTCCTGCCTACATATTCGCAACTGCAAAATGAGGCCCATAATACTGGCCCCATCTGCTCCTTGCAAGATAATGCTAGAGTATCAGTAAAGTACTGCAGGATAATTCTGGGTGCAGAAAGCCCAATCCACCCAGAACCTGGGAACCCTTCCTGAGGTGTCACCCAGGAGTGGGTCATAGACTCTCCAGCTCCAGTATGGATGCAGGAAAGCGCTCCCTCTTTACTTAGCAGAAGAAAGGTTTTGCTTCCTTTCATGACTCAATTTCCCTCTTCTACAGGATAGGGGAAATTGCTTTCTTGCCTTCTCTCTCTGTTTCCAGGCTCAGGGGAGGGGTTTCCCCTGGAATCTGTGTGTGGCAGGCCACCTGACAAGCCAGGCAGTGACACTCCCTGGGTGGAGGGTGGCAGCCGCAGGCACTTGGAATAGATACCTCATGGGTCCTAAAGAACCATGCCCCCTCCTCTCTGCGCCTCCCTGGGACAGCTCTAGCTCCTTTAAGTCTTTGTTCCCAGTGGAGGATGGAAACAGTTCCCAGGAAGAAGAGCTGAGGCAGGTCCCCATCAGGGCTTCACCCTGGCCTGGCGGAGAACGCCATGCTGGGTACTCTTGGGAAGGAGCAGCCAGTTCCATTCACCCCAGCTGGCATCACCAATAGGGCCAGGCCTGTAGTGGGGTGGGGTGGAAGGGTTGCTTTCCAGGTCTCAGGTCCTGGAGCCTTTGCTCCGACTTTCCTGTGGGCTCAGTATGTTCTGAACAGAAAAGAAATAGCAAAGCTGAAAAAAAGCTGAGACTTTGCTGCAGAGCACAGAGGCACCAACAGCCGGAATTAGAAGCTGTCGCTTAGGGAGCTGAAGGCTGACAGGAGATGGAACTGAAGCAGGCAGGGACAGGCAGGCACTCCACACTCCCCTCCCACCTGCTGAGCCTCTCCCCTGCAGGCCCCAGGCTGGCAAAAGGGCTTCCTCCCAGAGGCGGCTCAGGTCTGCAGTCTGTCACTCCGTCTGCAGCTGCCCCCACCACTAGGCCCCCTTCTTTCCTCCTCAACTGTTACCAGCCCCCTCACCCTGTCACGTTGCACCAGCTCAGCAGGGCTGGGCCTGGTGGCACGAGGCTGGGAGATCCAGAGAGCTTCTAGGGGTGGGGGTGGGGGGAGGTGCAGGGGGCGGGGTGAGTCAGCAGGGGATTCTGGCGTCTGAGTCAGCAGTGGGACTGAGAGGAGGGTAGAGACCCTTTTCTGTCTGCAAATGGTGAAACTGAATGGACACGGTGCCTCGCCCCAACCCACAGAGACACAGCAGGAATGGAACCCAGGTGCCTTTCACCTGCCCTGTGCCCTGAGGGAGGGCATCAACTCTTCCTCTGAACAGCCCTGAAGCCTGTGATTAATTCATCTCCAGGGCCCAGAGACTGGCATTTTCCCAGGGGGCACTTTACTCTTTTGTTCTGAGAACAGAAAGCAGGGTGGGAAGTGTCTGGGCCTGACTACACGGGAAGCCCCCAGCCTGCTGTGTCTTTCTAGGTGGCAGGTCCCACCCCCTTCCCCATCTTGGGCTTCCTAGTACAGATTGGGGGCCCAGAGACTCTGCCTGGACCTGAGAAGCCATGGGAAGGCAGCCTCTCCTTCCCCAGAGCAGTCACTGGCAGAAGCTGGGGCACTGCCCAGTGGACT